ACCACATGCAGTAACAGCGAACTAGACGCATAAATCTTGGCAAAAATTTACACTTTATCCACAATCACATGTTGTGCGAGTGTGTGTGTGTGTGTTCATGTTATTGAAAGCAGATATGCACCCGAAACGAAAGCTCCTACATCAAAACTCATAGATAGGATGGAATCGAATTATTGCTGCGTCATTTTGACCGAGAGAATGGTCGAAATTGGATTGGGTTGTGCTTCGTTTGTTGTTCTAAAAAAGCTCGGTAAACTTCCAACATAAAAGCTGCAAACATTGCTCAGTTTAACAAAAACACACACGAACTTTCCATCTCGTTCTTGTTAGAGCAACTTAAAGCGTTTCCCCTTCAAATTTGCCTTTAGATGTCTCTGACTCTACCAAACAAAAATAGTCACTGTTTGCGTATATGTACAACTTAGAGAATGAAATACTAATGACCAATTGTTTTGAACAACAAAGCCATAACCATTACGGCACACGCCGAACATTTAATGTAAACAATAACAATCCTTATTTTGATATTTGGTGATTCAAAGCATGATATCTATAAATATTCATACCTAAATATGCAGCATTTCATTCCAAATTGTGTCTTCGAGAATAAATTTGTAGGAAATTTATTGGGAATTTGTTCGAAATACAATTCTCTTGTAAAGATATTGCAATACAACTCAAATGTTTCAAAGTAGCATCCAAACGAAATGGCACGAAATGAAACGGTATTTTTCCATCCACGCAGTTCTTTTCTCTGCATTTCACAGATGGTCAAAGAGACGGCTTCGAATTTGCATACGAAGTTAGTTCTATGATACTATTCTATTCTTCCTTCTTAAAGGATTAAAGGATTAACCAGAGATGACGTCGTCTTGTGGCAGATGTTCGTCGTCATAAAACAATAAAATTCCCAGAATGTTCAAGTTCATTTTTGAACAAAACTATTTGCCATACCAAACTACGACCAATTGCATTTCCGTTTCTGTTGCAGAATTAGTTGGTATTGTTCTAGAGACCAAGAAATCGGATGATTTAATTGGTAGAAGGGAACACTTTTTCATGCTCGTACGCTTTATCCGCTTTACTTCGAATATTTTCTCCTACAATTTTTGCGTTGAGATGTCTCTGGTTTCCTTGCAAGTGGTTGAAATGAATGATATCGATTCGATGGTCGTGTTGTGATGCAAATTCTGTTAAAGTCATCTATAAAAATGCCAGAGTCTTCTATAGGACAATACACTCTTTGTGTGCCATAAAAATATAAGGATTATTACCAACCAAATTAGGATTTAAAAGTAATATGAATAATTGAACCAGAAACAAAGTAGTGTGTTTTCCGCACCCAATGTTTACAACTAGGTCAATATTGCATTCTATTCAAAACACATCAAATTGTAACGTCATTAATGCTCCGTGATTGAACTACGCAATTCGACTGTGGAAATGGAATGAGATGAGATCTGTATGCGTTGAACGTAACTATTTGTGGAATAGAATTGTTTTGACATTCATGTGATGTAAACAAAACCCGAACTATAATCAAATGACAAAATGGTTTGTCATTCAATTAATGCTCATTTAATAAACATAATGCAACATTTCCGATTCTATTAAATGCGAACAGAACGATGGGAAATGTTGTGATGAATGAGAATATAAAATACTATCAATCGAGCTGATTCTCAATCATTTAGCATTGGGACACGTAATTGCTGAAATGTTTCATCAAGATTAACTAATCTAAATCGATATTCTATAGCGTTAATGACACCAAACGTTCGCAACAGGTAAACTGGAATAAATCAAAAATCGAACAACAAAAATACAAGACAAGGAAATAGAATGAAAAAAAAATCTGGCCAATTAGTTCATCGTACAGAGACGATGGTTTTTTGGGCAATTCAAGGCAACTGCAAATATTGTTTCCGGACGAGCTATATGGGAAAGTTTATGTCAGACAGACGTAAGTAAAGTAGCAAATTATTTTGTGCACGAGCCTAATAATGTGATATTCCGGCGTCCGAAATGCAAGTGCATTTGCATGCATTCAATTTTATAATGGTGTCGCCTGTCGCTCACTCCGTTTCAAACGTAATGTCAAATGAACCTTAAATTATCATTAGACGTAAGCGGCCACAAAATGTAATCGTGCTAGCATTGCACACTCTCGCTGCCCCCGACCGACGACCAATTTCAAAGAACTTATTAATTGCCAAATATTTCGATTAGGTCGAAACACCAAAAAGTTCTTCATTTGGAAAAAAACGGCTCGTCATGAGTTCCCCTCATTTGAGCAACAGAACGCAAACTCATTAATTTGCACACCATATTCGCATTGAATGGTTCGTGATTTGATTTTCCACCTGAAAATCGTCTATACTCATGCCAACCAATATTTTTGTGCACAATTCAGGCAGAAAAAAACAACGGTCAACCCGAGACAGTATTTCATCATCACAAAAAAAAACAACGGTACGAATGAACTGTGGTGATACTGTTGACACGCGCATTTGAATTTCGTAACCAAATTGAAATTTCGAAAAATCCCCTGGATATATTCATACATTGACAATGTTTTCAACGATAGAATGAGCGGCTCGTGCGGTTCAATACACTTTTCGAAGTGATAACGATAAATAATATCGAAAATGGAAACAAAATAACAACAGTAGCTACGACTGACCCGAAATATTTGTTCAATACTGTTTTGCTTTCTTTTTCCTTCTCTCTTCCGTCTTCCTTCGATTTCTACAGCAAAGCAGGTAGTGATTACCCGTGAAGTAAACTTATTGCATTTGGAAATTATCAACAAATCTACAACCAAAAAACAAAAAATTGAAAAATCGATGACATGCATGTAAATATGGTTGGACGGCCTTTTGTTGAAAAGTCATTTTCATTGTTTTTTGGCTCGTGCGAAGCAAATACAAGCAATTTGGTAAACTATATACTCCGTTTGACCTATTTCGCTTAATTTTGTGGTCATATCTTCCATGAGGTCTTTAATGCATGCCGCCGAATGCAAATTTGTCTTACGCCGTCGTCCGAAATTCTGTCCCAATTCATTCTGAATGCCGATAACTAAATCGGACGGACTGCCACGAGTTACAATCGTAATGAAGGTAAATGATCCGACCACGGCGGCTGAATTCAGTTGTTAAATTAATGCACTTTTATCAATGTTTCACCGCGACCGGTTTGTGTTTACTTCCAAGTAAGACGCTCCGATATTGAGTCGATTTTATCGACATTTCTCGGGGAAAGAAATTTTTCTGGTGTTTTTGTCACTGCGAATGCACGTATCTATTGTGGTCGTGTTTAGTCTAAAAATAATTCATTATTCCCGAATGATAAATGAAACTATCGACCAATTTTCGATTTTTTTCGAATCTTCTATTTTCAACGGTCTCAGTATCCAAAGAACCATTTACATGAACACAGTTGAAATTTTACGCGAAGAAAAACAAAGTGACGATTGAAATATAGCGTGTTTCCTCTCTAAAAAATATGTTATTTTTTCTAGTTTTAATGGTTGTAAAACATCGAAACTGAATCATGCAATAAAAGTGAAAAGTAAATATTTTTTTCTTCTTCAAGTTTATTGGTGGTTTTAAGTTTTGTAGCTGGTCGAAGTTTCAATTCTAAAAAGGTCATACCTTACAGAATCTCTTTGAGATTTGCATTTTATTGCGACAGAAAGATGACGCGTATTTTTATTTGAGTGCAAAGATGTTAATCCAAAAGTATAGGGCATTATGTGCTTAAAAATAGCTGCAGTGGAATATTTTTTGACAGGGATGAAGTGCTCAGATAAATAGTTGGCGTCAAACATGTCTGTTTCAACAATTACCTTCAATTGTTGTCATAATTTCTTTTACTGCCCAACCATAAAAGTTAATCCCTGACGTTGTTTTTTATCGTCTGTACCAGGGATGCAGACAGAAATCCTCTGCCATGCAAATCTCTACTCGAGAAAATAGTTTTCTTTACATTTTGTTTTATTTTTCCTCTTCTTTTGCAATCTTTGGGCAATAAAATGAAAGTGTAAAATGGGTGAAAAATAAAAAAATGGAAAAAAGTTACTTGTTTATTTCCCGATGGATACATTGAGAATTAACATAAGATTTTTCTGTGTTTAAAGTGAGTTCTGTGCTGATTTTGTACGTAAGACTCGCTTTGCTTTGTCTTTAGCCTCCTCAGTCAAGACACCAGGCGTCGCGCAAAAAAGTATAATATTATGCATTTACTTATGCACTCAAACAGAAAAATCGATGGCCAACAACAGGTGGGAGCAATTAGTTTAGTTTCGTAGCGCCATACCCGAAAATCACTAACGGGTCTCGTCATTGTAGTCGAAGTCGCCTATCATTTGACCATACAATTGCAATGATTTCAGTCGGTGTATGAACTTCATTGAACCATACTGTTTTCTATCCATTCGGAATCCAATCTCAATATCGACAACATTTACAACGATTCTTCAGTTTTGATACTCGAATATTCGACGGCTGATTTTGATAGATATCAATAAGATATTCATTTAAATTTCTATGTTCATCATTCTTGTGTTTTTGTGCGTCCATGTGTTTATCTACCACAAAATAACAAATAGCCTGTACTAAGGTGTATAATCCCTAGGTATAATCTAAGCACCGAAACACACTCAGTCGGCATTTTTCGCCGTCTCTTTTGTGCATGTTTTCCTTGTAATGTACACCTGAGGTTTGCATATGCAAATTTTTGGAACAGTAGGCAGGCAAAATCTGAAAAAAGGTCTTAGATTACCTGTCCATTTTTCTTTACCAGAACCAAATTTCTGTACATTTTCTATGCATTTCTATCTAGGTTTTAGGACTGAGAATTGGTATAAATACTCCGGCAAAGTGTTGCAATTATCATAACTCAAGTGCATTCGAAAGTGTTCACATCTACGAGCAATTTTTGCAACGAGAAACATTTATTTTCATAACGAAAAGTCAAACACCAAACATCAAGACAACATGTATCACCAAACTCAACCAATCTCATACAATGTGCCATCAAACGTTTACACCGTTCCATATGAGGTAAGTTTCGAAAAATTCTTGACTTTTTTTTTTCGAAAAAGAACAAAAAATAAAAGGTCCAAACCACCATCCAAAAAAGAAGAAAAAATAACAAGAATCTAATCAAAATGTTCTTTATTTCTATTTTAGCAAAACTGGATTGCCGATCCCCAAGACTGCGAATACGCTCCAGGAATGTTAACTGTAATGGATGTCGATGAGTCTATTCTTCAGGCTGATCAAGTTGTTTATCAAGCCAAACCAGCTGTTAAACTTGGTCGCACTGGACGTCCAAAGCGCATTCGAACCAACTATACTAGCGATCAATTGAGCGAACTGGAACTTTTCTTCAAGAACAACCGTTACTTGACTCGTGCACATCGAATTGAAATGGCCAAGAAGTTGAACTTGAACGAGCGCCAAGTGAAAATCTGGTTCCAAAACCGTCGCATGAAAGAGAAACGTGAAAATGCAAGCTCGAACAAGGTATCGAAGAACCGATCGATTTCACCATCGCAATCTTTGTCATCAGGACCATCATCACCATCTTCACACCGTTCGCGTACACCTCACAGTGACGATTCAGCTAGCCAATTGACCGATCAACAAATTCGCAAAAATCTGTTGCAATATCAAAACTTCCAATACACCACTCAGGAGCCAGCATGTCAAGAATCGCAAACCCTCTATCGTCCAATTTACGAAACCTACGTGGTTCCAAATCAAGCCGATCCAACACAATCAATCAAAGTCGAAGGAAATGCATCACAGGAGCAAATTGTCGATTCAGGTGAAGTGCATAACTTCCTCGAAGGGGAAAAGGAATACATGCAGCATTATGGATTTGTTCAATTGAAAAATGAACATGGACTTAATAATGGATTCTCCGAAGCCGAATTTGAAGAATACAAACAATCGCACAACAGCTCATTCTCAAGCGTACACGATGAGATCAATACAAGTCAAACTTCATTGAGCTCGAAATCAAACCAACTTGATCTATTCCCAGGATTCTTCTTCGAAAATTTACAAGATCCAATGGACTTGCCAAACGATGTTTCCACCAACTGGTCACTTTTCCCACAAGACGAGGTGTCAGAAGTCAATTTACTCAATCTTTAAGTGCTTTGAACCAATATTGGAACATTTGAACTACTTACTTAAACTTGGTCGCACTGGACGTCTTAGTTGAAACAATTTTGATATCGTAAATTTTTTGTATTTTTTTCAAAAAGATTTGTTTATAGCTTAGACTGATATAGTTATAGAATTTTATAGGCTTATAGTTTTAGTCATATCTTTTATAAAAAATTTAGTTCGTAAAAATAAGAAAAAAATGTCAAAATAATAAGTTTAAATAAATATGAAAAAAAACAATAACTTGTGTGTCATTCAGAGAAAGGAAATTATTTAATTTTCAGTTTAATAAATTCCAAATGTGAACATCCTTCCATTGAAAATGAACGGTTCAGTTGGAATGTTGTGGATTTTGGATACCGAAAAAACATCTGAACGAACTTTTAGCGAAATCTAAAAGACAGGAAATGAGAAAAAAGGCTCGAATGTGTTTCTCTTTCGTATTTTCATGTCAGTTGTTCGTCATGCGAATAGGAAAAAAATGAAATTAAAAATGTAATCCGTGTGTATATTGAAATGCGGATACAATGTTTGTGCTCTCCAATGCAGTTGACTTGACTCACAAAAACTGAATCGCGCTTCCAGAGTTTGATTTTTATTCGTACAGTGGCGTTCCATTCAAAAAGAGCAGCAATAGAAGGTACGCACTAGAAGTAAATCGACGTGTTGTACTGGATTGGTGTCTATCTCTCGCTCGCTGTGAACGCCATGTGCTTGTATGTAGCACAGCGCTGCCGCCACTGAGCTGTCAGTCGAAAAAGAAAGAGGAAGATTGATGACCGCCATAGAAAGAGGCTTTATAGGGTGAAAGACATAACGTTATGTTCTCAATCTGTTTAAATGGGAAGAATATCATGCAATGAGCGCAGTGTGAGTGTGTGTGTGTGTGTGTGTACCGAATGTATCATTTTCTCCCTTCGAGTGGCAATAGATCTGTGGTGCTTCGTGCAATGCGATGAGACGGTTTTCTTTGTGTACATGTTTCCGTCGAAATTCGAAAATATGCAACAGCAACAGCCGCTTCCTATCTATTTTGGAGTTGAATTTGATTTAAATGATAATTTTTTTGCTCAAGAGAGAGAAAAAAGTCGCGCCTGTCGGAACATTCGTTCGTGCATATGCAACGCACACAAAGGCACACATTGTTCCTTCGTATAGATTACATTGGATACATCATTTTGATAAGCAATAATCGCCAGCCGTCTAATTTGCTTTTGACATTCGACGTTGTGGATTTTTTTCTCATGTATGATTGCCATGAAAATGATTGTCTGTGTGAAAATTGGTGTCACACACGATGCCAAATTAAATTTTGCTGCCATAATTACATCGACTTTTACTCACTCGCTGCGAATATTGCTTTTGTTCATTTGAACCATGGGCTCAATCGCATGAAATTTATCAATTTAAAAAACACACAGAATCAAAGGTGAATTGGAACCTGAAAAAGAAATACATGCAGCAAATGATGTCAGAATCGGATAAAATATTGGCGAAATGCCGAAGTTTATGTACACATTTCATTTATTTAAATTTACTTTCGAACAATGCCACGTTATACAACCTAAGCATGGGCCGTATTTTAACTGTTTGTATTTTATTTTCTCTCTTTTTTCATTTTTTTTTTCGGTGAGTATTCACGAAAAAAAAAACAACTGTTCGTGACCAGAAACATCAGCAAAGTCCAACATGAAACCAATTTTCGTTAAAACACATAACTTCCAAGTTTCAAAGGTAAAAATATGTTTCCAGACGAGAAAGAAACGAACTGTTTGCCCTGCTCGCGCTCTCCAAAATATAAATGCGCTTTTGTATGGCCACAGCCAGAAATATATCATTGTTCAGAAATGTAATCGCTTCAAAGCGTTGTTTTTGCGTTACACACGTGATTTCTCGCCTTTCGAATGCCCACAATGTGAAAACAAGCGAATACAACTCACAAACAGACAAAGGGCGGATCAGGTTAATGCTGATTATAGATTCAATCGTATTTTGTTTTCCATGATTCGAATGCAGAGAGCTCTGTTTCTTTCAGTTGTATCGGCAATTGCCATCGAAACCAACTCGATCTCATATGCATGCACTGTACAACGGAACAGCATAGATTTTATAAACCGTCTCATTCGAAACATACACACAAAAATAATCTGAATATTTTACAATGATGGCGTGAAAAATCTTCACATCTTGCTTGATATTCGCTCAAGCGAAATTATAATCTTGGCGACCTGTTATTAAATAGTTATTAAATGAAATTATCTGCGTTATCTCATGCACTGCCTATAATTTGTTTGCCACATTTGTCAATCAAAGAGCCGCATAACGAATTTTGCATCTTTTGCGCCAACCGTTTCCGCCATTTGTTTTCTTTCAAATCAAAATGAGATTTTTTCCTTTCATTCGAACAAAAAGTTTGTTTCACCAGAACAGGATTATTATCGTTGATCGGAGGCAATAAACATTCTTGAGTACTGTTTAATAAACAGGATTCGTCTTGAAAAATAAAGTGGTTTTATGAAAATAACCTTGCCCAAACCGTCGATAGGGATTCAGATGTTCTGTGAAAATAAGCGATTGCATTCAATTACGAGTAGCTTTGTTTTCCAGATAAGAGTTAATAATTCGAATGAACGGAGTCGTTAAGTGGCACGGATATTGACTGCAAAATCGTTGTTTTCATTCATTTCAAAGCGTATTTTCCTTGAAAAACTCGACAGAACCGTCGAATTTTTAGCGTTATTTCGCACATTTTTCCCAAAGTCAAATCATAACTCCTTATCTTCAAAGCCATTTTGATATCACATCTTTAATGAGAAATATTTGACGCTACTCAACTACTTTCTTTATTTTTTTTCAATTTTAGAAGAATGACGCAAGAGTGTTAACATTTTTTCTCTTGAAGAATCGCACTGTAAGGTTGGCAAAGCATAAAATAATGAAAATATAGCTTGAGATAAGGGGCAATGGGGTTTTAAGCAATCCAATTCCAAGCATTGATTAAAAATTTATAGGATTTATATTGCGAGTACATCCGATTTTAAAGTAGGATAAGCGCGGTTTTATATCCACTGAAATGATGATTGTGTGTCCAACATCATCCACACGGGCGAGAAGATTTTCATTTCGCATTTAACCCGTAATGCTTTTTCAGTTCAGTAAAATTTAACGACACACGAATTTAACATCGACAAATCGATTTCACCGTGTAGAATTTCAACGGTTAATTTCATGTTAGAAAACCCGGGAGTTCATAGAGTAGAGCGATGACAACCGCTCCGAATAGAGATGAACGAAACACAACGGCATACCATATGACACATATTAAAGCATTGAATTATTAATTTGAAAGCCGAGCTGATGACACACCACAACGTGCTGTGGAGACGATGGTGTTGAGAAATTAAAAGAACATTTATGACAAATTCATCCCAGCAATTAAACCATGAACAATGAAACGGCAAAAACAAAATTTGCCAAGTCGGATTCGTCGCCGACTTTGCTAGATACAAATACCGCAAGATGAAAATTGGTTTTCTTTGCAGACGTGATTTCGGTTAATAATTTATTACCTCAAATCAGCACTCTCGAAATTTAATTCGGCTTGGAATAACGAGCCAACATTTTCGTTTTTCGGAAGGGAAAGAGTTGTGTTGATTTTCAAGGAACTTTCCAGACGCTCCTACCAAACCGCACAATCGAACTCGTGCGATATTTTTCAAATTATTTTCTTATAAAGCGATAGATTTTGACGAGAAAACCATCGAAGAAAATGCAAAAATCAAAACGAGTGTGTGTGGCACGTCAGTGTTCAGGTTATAAAAGTTCATATGGCTTGTCTGTGAGAAATTAGCATTTATTAGTGCCAATGGGAGACAGGGGCGACGAACACAATCTGTTTCGCACACAGGTAATTCAGGTGCCGTAAAAATGGTGCTCCTCTCACAAAAGTCATTAGCATGTTTACATGATTCGAATGCGGTTTATTAAGTTCAACAAAAATAAATATTTAGAGAGAAAGAGGAGAGAATGCAACAATGACACATGGTGCGATGTCGAGACTCGTGTCCAAAACCAACATAAAAAAATAAATATAAAAAAAGACCTCAGCACAATAAGTAGAATAGGTTTCGATGTCGCCCAATGTGTCGACTGAAATGGTTCATAGGTGAGAAAGTCTCTCTTCTACTACCATCTCAATCAATTTTTTTTGCTTTCGCTCTTGGCGAGTGATACTCCGATCGAAAATTAGCAACAGTTGTTTGGCTTGTGAATTTTTCTCACGGATCAAATGTACGATGAAAAAAAATTAAATTATTCGGATGCAATAAAATGTCAATTAAACTTTTTTTTCTTGAAAGATTAGTAGCTACTTGGCCGATTAGCACTCACACGTTTTTGCTCTGTGCATTCAAATTCGTCATTTGTCCGTTCTTTTAAAATCAAATAAAAGAAACTCTCTGCTCAATGGGAGAGATTAAAATAACAAAACATGTTAAATCATAATCTATTTTTGGTGTTCTTGTTCATCTTCATGGGGTTTGTTTGTTTATATACTTCGGTTTGCGATTGAAAATCATACCAAAGCCACAAAGATATTGTTGAATGAAAAACAGAATCATTGTATCATTTATTTTCTTCTATCTCTCTCTCTCTCGACTAGGGGAATTTACAGTTGGTATTCCAAAATGACCAATTGAATACAATCGAAATTTATGGACTGCAGCACTTTTTGAAAGGAAACTCTCCATACCAAAAGATCAAAGATAAACTATTGAAAACAAAAGAAATTCAGAAGGCCAGGGCAAGTGCTGAGGTTCTGACCATTCTTAGGTCAATTAAAGTAACCAATGATTTACGTCCGGTTCGGCAATTACACAAATTATTTTCGAATTCTCTCCTTCGATATGGATCTGAACCGACCCGTTCAATGGTAGCATCGTTCGCTTTTTAAAGTAGATCGTCTTATGAGAACTCAATGGGATTGT